GGTTCTTGTCCAGATTACTTCAGTAAATCCACCTGCTGAAGAACCCAAGGTTCTTGTCCAGATTACTTCAGTAAATCCAACAGCTGAAGAACCCAAGGTTCTTGTCCAGATTACTTCAGTAAACCAACTGCTGAAGAACCCAAGGTTCTTGTCGAGATTACTTCAGTAAATCAAACAGCTGAAGAACCCAAGGTTCTTGTTGAGATTACTTCAGTAAATCAACAGCTGAAGAACCCCCAGGTTCTTGTCGAGATTACTTCAGTAAATTGAAAATGCTGAAGAACCCAAGGTTCTTGTCCAGATTACTTCATTAAATCCAACTGCTGAAGAACCCAAGGTTCTTGTCGAGATTACTTCAGTAAATCAAACAGCTGAAGAACCCCCAGGTTCTTGTCGAGATTACTTCAGTAAATCCAACTGCTGAAGAACCCCCAGGTTCTTGTCGAGATTACTTCAGTAAATCCAACAGCTGAAGAGCCCAAGGTTCTTGTCGAGATTACTTCAGTAAATCAAACAGCTGAAGAACCCAAGGTTCTTGTCCAGATTAGTTCAGTAAATCCAACAGCTGTAGAACCCAAGGTTCTTGTTGAGATTACTTACAGGATATAACTAGGAATGGAGCTGCTTCTCACAACCTGACACTTAAAAAAAAAAACTCCACCAGTTACAAGACTGCAAGCATTGGTAAAGGACAAAAGGTCATACCATCATGTTACCATAAGAATGATGACAAAACCGTAACTATACTTAAGTTTTACAGATTTTAGTAATGATTTAGTGATTGTAATGGTTAGATCAATAAATGTTGTTAACTGAAGATTAAGTTTAATGTGCTATCATTTCCTTTTTGTAATAATATTTTTCTAAGGACTTCAGAAGCACAAAGGAACTATATTGTAGCCATGATTTTATTCTAGATGTTTCTATACATTTGTATTGTTGTTTAGCTGGAAGAAAGCTTGATGTAAAGGGACAGACATGGCCTTGATGTCTGGAAGTTCAAAGTGAGTTATGGTACAGTGTATTAGAAATTGTATTAGTCAGTTAATGAGTAATCAATCCATGATTTATTCAGTTTGCATGTTACTGTCAACCAGTTAGTTAGTTTAGTACTGTGAATATTGCATGTTACTGTCAACCAGTTAGTTAGTTTAGTACTGTGAATATTGTATGTTACTGTCAACCAGTTAGTTAGTTCAGTACTATGAATATTATATGTTACTGTCAACCAGTTAGTTAGTTTAGTACTGTGAATATTGTATGTTACTGTCAACCAGTTAGTTAGTTCAGTACTGTGAATATTGTATGTTACTGTCAACCAGTTACTTAGTTTAGTACTGTGAATATTGTATGTTACTGTCAACCAGTTAGTTAGTTTGGTACTGTGAATAGAGTTCATATTTCAATGAAAAAACAGAAATATAAAATTAACAAGTAGCATTTTTCTTAGATGTAGTTTATTTGTGAAGTTAAGCCAACCAAAGAAGGTTGCTTATTCTAACCAGAGAATTTGTAAAAGAAGAATTTTTTTTCATTGTTAAATGTACTGAACTTTTCATTATTCTTTTTACCAAATACTTCTTAAGAACACGTCCAACAACAAAAATCATTACTACAAAGTCTTTGAAGATTTATATGTTCATCTAACAAAACAGGAAACAAAACTACACGTCATTCTAAAACAGAATACGTGATAATAAATCAAGAGTTTTAAGGATAAGAATGTTTACTTATTAAACATGCTCGTGTGTTATTTTTAATTAACATGAATGTATAATATATGCTTTAAGCACCCATTTCATGCTGAACTTGTGACATTCATTATTCTTAACTCTTTGTATTTATAATGTTGCTAAGAGATCAATAATATCCATGTAAATAAATCAATAAATGTACAAACACGAAGACACGTGTACAAGACTTACGTTCTCGTGGTTTATATGTTTCAACAGCCTCAGTTCTCGGTAAGTCCTCTTGGCATGAACAGCCGACAAAAATGGTCTTCCCAATTTTTTAATAGCAACTTTCTTATTGGAGGTACTGTGAATTGCTGAACTGAAAATGCAAAAAAACCTGATAAAATTTCCAGTAATGAAATGTAAATATACTAATTAAGTTTGTCAATGAATAATACAATTGTTTACTAAGTCACTTCTTTACACGTATGAAGGGTAATACCTTAAACAACAGATTGAGCTTGTCACACAATAACCCTACGTGCAAAGCGTTCATGCCCCGACCTCGTACAGAGAACCATGATCTTATGGACATGGTGTGAGCACCATCAACGTTTCGTGTTATCTTGCATTGCTGATTTAGGGTAGAGAAGTTACCAGATACAATATACAGGGATACCGAAGAAACTGTAGATACGAATTTTGGAAGTCCTAGAGGTTATACATATGCAAAGTATACAGTGGGCAAAAGTATTTTTATTCTTCACATTGACATTAATGTACACTCCACCTTGTCAAAGTCTCAGACAGACCGACTTTGTCAATTCACAGACAAAAACTTTATTAACAAATCTGATATTCTGTGCACAACAGACTAGTAATGTTTACTGAAAGTCTGACACATTTTGTGACGATACATTTCACAAATTCTAAATTACAGTCAACATTACTTCTCCAATATGGAGTCCATCCATTGGACATTAAGTTAACAGTTCTATAAAACCAGATCTACAACAACACAAGAAGCAGTTGTGATCTTTTTATTACTCTAATGTTCACAGAATACTCTCTAGAAATAACTGGCTACTCATTAGAAGAACGTGTTAACTTTGCGTTATGAGATATTCTACATGAAAAATACATCATGTAAAATATCACAGAATAAATAAATACAAAATTTTACTTGCACACAAGTTGCTAGATTAAAGTGGAAGAAATGTGTTACACAACATTTGATTTTCATCTCTTACACTTTTCAACATTTTGTTACGAATACAAGAGTAATTATAATATTCTTATAATGCAACTCATTGTTTCAAAACACACTAGAGATTTTTGGAAGAAACATGCCAGAAAATATGTTATGAATATCATACAGAGGTGTTGATGAGCATTTGTAGTGTAACATTTCATAGATTCTTAGTGTTATAGCTCAATGTAAAAACTCTAACACTTAACGTTATGAATATCATACAGAGGAGTTGATGAGCATTTGTAGTGTAACATTTCATAGATTCTTAGTGTTATAGCTCAGTGTAAAAACTCTAACACTTAACGTTATGAATATCATACAGAGGAGTTGATGAGCATTTACATTTCATAGATTCTTAGTGTTGTAGCTCAATGTAAAAACTCTAACACTTAACGTTATGAATATCATACAGAGGAGTTGATGAGCATTTACATTTCATAGATTCTTAGTGTTGTAGCTCAGTGTAAAAACTCTAACACTTAACGCTTCACCACAAGAATTGAACATTCTCATTGTTTATTATACTTTATGTTTAACAATTCACCAAAAGAATTGAACATTCTCATTGTTTATTATACTTTATGTTTAACACTTCACCACAAGAACTGAACATTCTCATTGTTTATTATACTTTATGTTTAACGCTTCACCAAAAGAATTGAACATTCTCATTGTTTGTTATACTTTATGTTTAACACTTCACCACAAGAATTGAACATTCTCATTGTTTGTTATACTTTATGTTTAACAATAGTGGAAATTGTGCACTAGAGAAGTCTAGTAAAGCAATCGGGATATGATAATATTTCAGTTTTCACAAACATTATCACTAGGTTATCTTTTATCGATCCACTTTTTGTCAGTGGTGATTTATCGTAAATATTATAAAAAAAGCTCTATGTAACTACGATTTCTTAAAAAATCAGTATACAACTGTGACTGTCTTGAACAAAACGGTATACACTTGTGATTGTATGATACTGAAAACAATGAAAGACGATAAATTATTGTTTTTTTTGTTTGATTTTCAATGTTTATTTTCATTCTGATCTTTTAAGTGGCATACAGTTGATAGTTAAGTATAAGAGAGCTTGCATGATAGGTAACAGGTAAGAAAAGTTCTGTATTTGATAAAACCACATAGACACAGAGGCCCTCAACAGGTTGAAATAAGTCGCACTGTTACGTCTACTTTTCAAATGTCATAGAACCAAAGTTGTTATCAGACATACAAGGCTATTTAACTTGTATTTTACATCGTATCGTGCACGTCACAACAGATAATGAGAGAAGTGCTTCATAAATTTGGAACTTAATAAGTTTTCATTTCAAGTACTTAAAAATATTGTGTTTGCGATACATTTTACATAAAAACTTCCTTATTAAACACAGTAAATTTGGTGGTTTTTATGTGTTATGAAATATCTCCATCAGCACGTATGAAGCTTAAGTAATTGTTCATCAGTTCATGGCCAAAAACTGTCCAGAAATATTTTTGTGCATGAGACTCATTTTTGGAAAACAGTGAGAGGAAATAGTTACACAAACTAAAATTACAAGGCTGTTTTCGAGTTTGTAGGAGGGCATTTCATATAATTATTTTTTATATTTATTTTAGAGTAACAAGCCTTTAAACTTAAAAGTTACATAAAACAAAACCAATCCTGTATCAGATTGTGGTCTATACATCATTATTATGTACCTAACACAATACGTTATCTTTTAAGTGGTTTTTATACGTAAATCAGAGTTTGAGTATTATTATTATTATTAGTTATCTCATTATGCTAATTATATGCATTTCTAACACCAAATTATGTTTCAACATGAACCACTGTTCAATTGGTAAATCATAACTTCTGATCAGAGTAAGCTGTGTACTGAGAGTAAAATTTAAAATAAACCTGGTCATTGGTATTGCAAAGCCTCCCAGTGGCTCAGCACTACGTCTGCAGACTTATAAAATGTTAAAAACCATATTTCTCTACTCACGATGAGCATAGCACAGATAGTCCTTGTGTAGATTTGTGCTTAACTACAAATAAAGTATTTCAAAATGTACGTGTACACCTCGTATAGTGAGACAACCAACGTCATTGTGCGTGATAATGCTGCTCAATGCTGTGGTTTATCTTGTCTGTTTTTTTCTTAACTATTATCTTTTGCTTGTTTTCACATATATAGATATCTATCCAGTCGACCATGATAGGTTCTGTTTCATAATATAGACACCTGATCAGAAGTTATCATTTACCAATTGAACAGTGGTTCATGTTGAAACATAATTTGGTGTTAGAAATGCATATAATTAGCATAATGAGATAACTAATAATAATAATTATACTAAATTATGATTAATGCAACCTAAAAATTAGGTAGAGATATCATAGCAATAATTAGTTAGTTTGTTACATTTTTCAAAAGGATTTTTCTTGTGTTTTGGAAGCTTCTTACCAAAGGAAAAAACCTATGATAATCTTAATGGTAGTTTATCTTGTAATGGAAACTTGAAGTTACCACAATAAAACTAGCACCCAACAATTAGCCATCCCACAGCCCTGAGCACAGGTCTTGTTTGTGAGACAAAAAGAATGTGTTAGTTTCATTTGTTAGCTAACAAAGTGCCTTACTAGCAAGTAATGATGGGTTAACCCTTTAACTCAGTCAGAGAAGAACTTGCCTACCATTCAAGAGATCCCAGGTTCAAATCCAAGTAGAGGAAATAATAAAATTTAAATTACCACAAGAAAAACTGCTGTTCAAAATGGAGCCATGCTTGTGATAATAGAAGAATGTGGTTCGTTGTTATTTAAACAGATATAATTCATACCAAATGGTAGATATTATAATGATTTTGTACATGTACTAGTAACGTATGGAACATTCCATCTTTCAAACCTGTCCTTGCACATTCATACTTGAAAATAGTAGAAATTTAAATCCATCCTTTATTGCTCTCTTAAAATCCTACAAAGTGTTGGCCTCCAATCTACCCACAAATTTAAGAAGGAATAAACTTTTTAAAGTGGAGCATAGCCAGTCTTAAACTTGTGTTCTCTTGTCCTAACCTCTTCAGAATGCAGCACAAAGAAATCAGATGCTTTTATCCTACTGATACCTCAAATAATCATATAAACTTCAGCAAGATCACTTCTTACCATTCATTTCTCATGAGTAAATAAAAGATCTTAACCTATCCTTGTAAGATTAACTTTTCAAACTGGAGTCATTGTAACTGCCCTCTTCTGAAAACATTCTAAGAATCGGTATCATTTCTTATAAAAGGAAACCAAAACCAAACCAAGTGAGGCCTGTATAGCAATTTGTATAGAGATAATTACCGCTTTTGACTCGTAATTAACATGTCAAATATACCCTCAAATTCTATTAGTTTTACTACTATCAAAAGAGCAGTGTCTAAATGGTTTGAGTGACTTAACTTCTACTGGTCTATAATTTCCAAGAAAATCCAAGAAAGCCTCCATCCATCTATCTATCTATCCACTATCTACTGACTTATCAAAAATGAGACTTACATATCTCATTTTTAACCTCATTTAAAACCCTGCAAAAAACCCTTGTATGGTCCTGGTGCTTAATCTATTTTTAAGTCCTCAATTTTTATACAACTAATAACTACATGATCCTTTCTCATGGCCTCAAAATTGCTTTTCTGAGAATTAGAAACTACAATTTCATTTCTTTTTTACCTCAACATGTAGCAAAACCTCAAAGTTAACTATGCATTGACCACTATTCTCTAAACGCTCCCCCTACTTCAAATCTTGTAATCATAACCTCATTAGTGGATAACAAGAAATCTAAGGAAAGAGTTCCAT